GAGAGCAAGCTTGATTCAGTCAGCAAGTAGCCAGCCTCTGAAGACAAGGACCACCTTCGAAGAAAGATTCAGCAGATGGCCTCCAGGGGATTATCAGACCTTCATAGGTCTCTGCAGAGACTGGCTGGTGCACCTGTCCCCCTCCCTGACATTGCCTGCGAGAAGCAGGCCAGTGTCTCATAGACTGTTAGCTGTTGGTGCGTGCCAATAGCTCACGCAAAGCTGTCCACAGCCTCTGGTTCTCTGGCACCACCTCCTGGTGCTGCTGGGTCTGTCACTCTCTGGTCTCCGGCCCAGTCTTTAGGCTGGGGTTGTGGGCTGCTGAAGTGTCTCCATTTCTTCCTCAAGTGAACCTGTTTGGGGCTTCGGGGCACTGGGCATTATTTGGACTCCTTTGTAACTGTTTCCTTTTCCCCAGTCTCCTGTTTGTTAAATAAATGCTGTTGCTGGATCTTCAGCCTGACTGGTACTGCAGCTGTGTGTGCAGGAGATACTCACAGGTCTCTAGCCTTGGGCACTCTCCTTTGATACCGTCCATGGCTTTTGTACTGTTATAGCTCTGTTTCAGGCACTCTTTGTGTACTGCTTTAGTTTCTATACAGATTGGATTTGTCTTGTGTGTGTGTTGCGGGTGCAGACCACAAATAGCTGCAAACAAATAACTTTATTTTAAAAAAGATTTGTTTATTTATGCATATAAAAACTGTGTACAAGCCAGAGGTGCAGGGGTGAGAGGACCCAGAGACAGAGTGGGAGCAGAACAGACGGATCTACTGAAAAACCCTGTTGAGGGGAACAGCAAGTGGGACAGAAGAGGTCTGCTGCACCATGTGGGTCAGCTTCCTGGCTGGGGATAGAACTTGTGCCGCAGTGGCTTTGGATGGCTTCATAGTGGTATGCTTTAACCCATTGTCTCTCTTCAGTGTTAGACAACCTTAAAGAGGAGGTATTTGTTTTTACATTTCATTTTGAGACTAGAAACATTAACTTTAGAGAAGTGAGTAATTTGCCACAGGACAGGCTCACCCTTAACATGTGTAGAACTCAAGGCCAGAGAGTACAAATGACAGTCAATATATACTATAATCTGAACATTTAAGCCTATAAAGCAGGCAACTGCATTGTGAAATAAATGTGTCCTACCCTCCCGCCATAATTTTTAATAACCTGAAGTCTAGGATTGACTATAGAATTCTTAGGTTCCTCAAAAACTTTGTGGAACCGAATTGGTGTTTGCCCTAGGAAGCTTCTCAACTCACACCCCACCCCCTCTTGCCTTGTGTACCTGAATGTGGACCGTCAACCTTCACGTCTAAGCTGAAGCCCCTACCAGCTGCCATTGGCCGTCCCTCTGTCCTGGGGTTGTGAGCACGGCAGTGCAGACCTCACCTGAGAGAGATGTGGGGAGAGAGTCTGGAAGCCATGTTAGGCCTGTTTGGTCAGGGAACTGTAGGATCTTATGTGCCAAGAGGGTGTTCTACAAGGACAGTCGAGCTTACATGTGGCCACAACTCTTTGGGTCGGAGGATAAGGCCACAACTCCTTATTCCAAGAGGGAAGTGCTAGAGTGAGCCCCTTTAAAATGTGAGAGTAAGGGGACGGGTCCTTTTTGCTGTGTCCAAGGAGGAAAGCAATAAAGAGGTAAAAGTATTCTAAAAGACAAAATGACATACTGATGTAAATGTTAAATTTATATCATGTAAGCTGTATTGACCTAATTTTGAAAATGACAATGTGCTAAATATGTCTTGATACAAAAGGATGTGCAGTAATATAACAATATAAAATAAAAACAAATTTATAAAAGAAATGGAAGGACTGTAAAGTCTCAAAATTCAAATGAAAAGCATCAATTTGAGGTTGTATTCAATAGGTTAGTGAAAGGGAACTTGTCACTTGCAACACAAACCTGACACAGAAGGTTAGGGTGCGGCTTCTTATGAGGTTGACTCATGAATTGATTCCCTAAACTCTTCCTAGCTAAATTTAGCATGAAATTTTTTTTCTATATACTCTGATATCCTCTTTCTTTAATGTGGAAGATTGTGTCTTTTATGTATGACATCTATTGCTATTAGTTGTCTTTAGTCCTGTTCCATCAGAGTAATTAATCAATGTAAATCCAGGTAATAAAAAAGCATCTAATTATCTTGAATTCTGAATATGAATGACCAGCTATTTTTCATTTTACCTTAAAAGATTATTATCAAAACCAAAACCTCAGATTTAAAATAATTGCACACAGGCCCTCCCTGGTGGCGCAGCGGGTTAAAGCACAGCACTGAGACGCTAAAGCCACTTCCGCATGAGTTAGATTCCCGCCTGCCCCGAAGGAGCCCACATGGCGTGGCAGACCTCTCCTGACCCGCCCGCTGCTCCCCTCAGCAGTGTACTTCGTCGATCTGCCTGTTCTGCTCCCCACTCTGTCTCTGGTGAAGCCTCTCGCTGCCCCTGAGCCTCTAGCCTGTACCCCAGTTCTGTATGAACAAGTAAATAAATCTTTAAAAAAAAACAAACTTGCTCAAGATCATACAGTTAACTTGAGAAGGGACCGCATTGAAGTCGCAGCTACCTAACTGCTGGGTTACATGCTAGCTATATTCTATAATCTTTATGTATAGGCTGTGACAGCCCAGTACTCAAATCTACCAAAAATAATTTTACCATTTAACTACCTATACCAGTGGAGATAACTGAAGAGAGAAAACACTTACATATATTTTACTGTAAAATAAACTGTCATAACTTTATCGTCCTAATTATTTTTCACTCAGGCTGGTATTAAAACAATCATGATTGAGGAAGTGCTTAAAATGCAGGCCATGTTGCAGCAAAGCCAGAAAGTGGAGGCTTCTAGGTAATGGGGAAGCCAGCAGGAGAATACCTATTTGCTGCAGATAATGGGCAAAGGGAATATTCCATGAATGCTCATTAAGAGTTGGCTGTAACATATGATTCATTTTCCTTCAGGGGGCACATAGCAATCTATACCCTCTAAGACAACAAAACCAACAGTCAACTGTAAAACATGCCAAAAACTGTTTCCATTAGACTCAACCCCTGGGGAAGTTCTAGGTCTATATAAAATGACAACTTAAGAAAATAAAATCTCTAAGAATAGGGTTTCAAATAAAAAGTGGTTCTGAACCACAACTATAAAGTAGCTATGTGATGGTATTATTCTCTGCAAATTCTCACTGAGGGGTTGAAGGTCAGGAGGAGGCAGCTACAAACACAAAAGGCTTAACAACTCTTAGGGATGGACTGATATTACAAGATTGTTTTTTGAGTTGCTTGGCAACTTTGAAAAACAAATGTCCATGATGTGAGATCACCCTGCACTAGCTCTCCTCCCCATGGGCAGCTCATGAGATCCTCGCCTTGCTCCACTCTACTCGGACAACAGGGGCAGGACCCAGCCACTGTGATGAGCTGGTCTGTCATGGAAGAGAGATGCCAACTCTGTGACTCAAAAACAAATCACAAATTTTAGCCATCTGGCAGCAGAGATCTCAGGCAAGACAATGTTCTCAACGGACTGTCATGGTTTACCCAACCAAAATCTATGCCTTCAGTGTTGTTTTCTACTACATGACTTCAATCAGCTTTATTTGCAGGTAAATTACTTTCTCTTCTCTACTAATAGATACTCGACTCATTTTTATGAAAAATTTTAACAGCTATATTTATTTCTAAGAAATAGCCTTTATTAGAAGATCTACTTCAGATACCATCTTTTTTTTCGTTAAGTAAGTCTGTTTTCTTCTTTGCTTAATGCTCTTGACTATTGAATTTACTCTCATTAAGTAAAAAGGATGAGGTGCATAGCTCTAAAATTAATACCACATATGTAAGCACACAATTATTAGACAAACAGGCTTCCTAAATTTTGCATGCATCAGTATTGCAATGTGTCCAGTTCTACCTAGACATGTGGCTCATGGCGATATATATGTACATACATGTATACACATACATACACAGATATATGTATATCTATAAAGATAAGTCAATACTATTATTTTCTTGAAGACATCATTTAGTGTTATTAAAAACAGCCACTCATCCTTCCACATCAAACACTAAAAACACGAATATTCCACAAAAAACACCAAAATGGAAACAAATCTTAGATCTGTTTTGAAATTAAGCTCTATCTTTAAGGGAAGGCTGGTCATGACTTACCTAGAAGGGCGAGTTCAGTTAGTGTAGCATTCGCGGTAATATTCACTCTCTGAAGCAGAGACAAATCTACCACAGGTCAATTATAAGTGGGTCTTCCTGACTGCCTGACACATATGTACCATCAATGATAAGATGCTGCTTCAGTAAACACCATTTCTATAGCAACCCCCCACCCCACACACAGCAGGCTGTGTTTGGAAAGGCAGTTAAAACTGCATTCTACAATGTAGATTCACTTAGAACATACTTTTACATACTTTTCTGTCATCTCATTAGAATGAGAGTATCCTAGTGAAGCAATTATCATTAATCAGCAAAAACTCATCACCTACAGAATCTTAAATCTTGACCTCTTTGCCACTAAATATTAGTAGGTCACATTATATCCACACCACTGACCTGGTTTGCTTGTTGCTTGTTCATGAGTGACCATTCCCTAAGGCAACAAGTCAGATCGCAGTCTGACAACCTGGAATACCAGACAGCCATCTGCTGTCCCAGCTACAGGCTAGAGTGAGCAAAATGCCTGCAAAGAGCTGACAGAATCATCTTACCATCCAGAAAATTTCAGCTAAGATGCATTCATCTGACCAAAGAAATTTCATTTCTCAGACCAGACTTCTTTCAAGGAGACCCACTTCTTCCAAGGTCACAGCTTCTGCACACGATTGCTAAGAAGGTGCGTATGTCCACTTGATCCCATCTCCTCAGACACACCTTTGACACCTGGCCACAGGCAATAGCACTATACTACTTTTCAAAAGAGAGAGCACCATTAGAAGCTCACGCGTTAAAGAATTCTAATTCCTTAAAGGAAAAGACTTAAACTCATTATATAGATCCTCCCTTGCAGGATACATTCAGTGGCATTTTAACATGATGGCTTCAGCACTGCCAGTAAATGTGGTAAAGGTCTCTATCATGGTACTTGCAATTTTCACTTGAAAAACTCATTTTTATTGAGAGTCCACATACAATGAGCCAATTCATACTGTTCATCTATTAGGTCACTCTCTTATGAATAATACGTGGGCTGAAATATGGAAAGGCTAATTTTTATAATGGGAAATTCTTTGCCTATTCCAAAAGACAAAAAAAAAAAAAAAGACAACTGTAGTCATGAAAAACAACAACAAAACAACTGTGATAAATGGTGGCATGAAATCCTGACTCTAAAGCTATTTGAAAGTGTACTTCTGGATGTCTCTCTCCTCAGAGTAAACTTTCAGTTATCTGGCAGTCAGGCATGAAAGTATTTGAGTGAGTGCTAAAATGTGATTTTATTTTTCCAAGTCAAGTCCCACGGAACTCAGACTGACCCACGGAACATAGACAGACCTGCTTCTTCCTTACAAACTGAAATCCTGCACGGTAACGGAGGTGTCATCCCCGAGCTTCACTGCCATTCCCGCACACTGCGAGCAGGCAACTTGGGTTAACGGTGCGGCCTGCACAGCCTGGGATATGCTGGCATAATGCGCGAGTGGCAAAAGCTTCCTTGGTGAAGGCATTTTAGTTCAGGGGTCACAAACCTTTTTTATAATAGGCCAGAGAATAAATACCTTCAGTTTGTGGGGCCGCACAGAGGCTGTTGAGATGACCCAGTTCTACCCCAGTAAAGTGAGAACATGGTCACAGACCCTAACCGAAGGGCAGGGGCCAGCTCCGATGTCTTATTCTGCCTGAGCGGCTGTATCAGGGATTCGTGACCTGACCTGGGTGGCTTATCGACAACACTAGTTCATGTATCACCATTCTGGAGGCTGGAAGTCCAAGGTGAAGGTGCTATCAGATTCAATGTCTGGTGAGTACCTGCTTCCTGGTTTGGGGATGGGCCTTCTCCCTGTGACCTCAGAATGATGGAAGGGTGAGGCAGCTCTCTGGGGTCTCCTTTACAAGAATGCTCACCCATTAAGAGGGCCCCACCCTCTTGGTCCAGTCACCATCCAAAGCTCACTTTGTAATTTCATCCCACTGGAGACTTGGTTTCAACATATTAATTTTTTGTTGTTGTTGTTGTTGTTGTTGTTGGGGAGGAGCACATTCTGTTGATAGTATCCAATAAAACTTTATTCTGATAGACTTACATCTGAATTTCATTTAATTTTGTGTGTTATGAAATATTCTTCAATCACTAGAAAAATGTAAAAATCCATGCTTAACTTCTAAGCCATAGTTTGCCAACCCATATTTAGATGAATAGTTCTTAATGGATTCGTCACAAATTGCTATTTGTAGCTATTAAACGCTATGTAATTGCCATCACTTTGATGGACCTCAGCAGTAGAGAATTTAAACTGTTAACTTGTTTTGAAGTGATTATTGTATTCAAATTAATCATAAATAGCAGCTAAATAGTATTTGCTATTACTTATTTAATAATAAAGTAGTGTTCTATGCTTAAGGTATGTTCCTAATTTTTTCCTGATCTTATAATAGTTGGAATTTTTCATTTAACTGAAATAATTTAATTTTTACTTAACTAATAGTGCTATTGATTAAATATAATAGCTAAAAGAAAAACCCTTATGAAGTCTATATACATCTACTGAGTTTAACTAAGTTAACATATGGTTTCTTTGAAATGTCCATCCAATGTTAAAGATAAAGTTTTCAGAAAACATGTTTTAAATCATTTGATTATTTCTGAATGACAATCCAAATGTTGGCTTTTTTTCTGCATACATACAATCTGTTATAGTTAGGAATTTGGCAGTTACATTTTTCACAGTAGATGCTAAGTTAAAAAGATCATTTAAATGGAAATAGATTAAGAACACAATGAAGACTTCAGTTATAAAGGCTTGTTGCCATAGGGAATATTTCCAGAAAGGAAACAGAGACTTGAGTAACTTATATTTTGGAGGACTCATAACAATGTACATTTCTTTGTTTTTACTTTGATTCTACAATGTCTTAATTTCTTACTGCTCCTGTAACAAATCACCACGCAGAGAGGCTAAACACCACAGAAATTTATTCTCTCATAGTTCTGGAGGTTAGAATTTAAAATTGGTTTCAGTAGGCTTAGTCCAAGCCTACTGACAGCAATCTAATACTAATACAATAACACAAGCCAGGTGGCCACAGGGTGCGCCTTCTGCAGACAAAGACTGTTCTTGCCTTTTACTTCCTACTTGCGCCTCTGTTCCTTGGCTTTCGTCCCCTTCCTTCATTCTCAAAGTGCATCACCACTCTAATTTCTTCCAGCTCCTCTGATTCTGACTCCTGCTGCAACCCTATTATAAGCACGGTTGTGATTACAGTGGGCGATGCGAAAAATCCAGAATATTACCCCATCTCATGATTCTTAACCACACCCATGAAGTTCCTTTATCATGTGATAAGAATAAAAGGGTTGAGAGGATAGGACGTGGAGATAATGGAGGAGCCATTACTCAGTCTGCTACGTAAATAGAACAAATTTATTACATTTTTTGTTGACTGTGAATTGTATACAAAATAAACCTAATGGGAACAAGAATGCTGCTTTTATTCACCTACACTATACTGTTTGGCACACATGACATCTATGTATGTGTGTGTGTATGTTTCTTTCGAAAACTTCATTAGATTAAGAACATAAACTTTTATACCTCTACCCCTATTCATCGATACTCATCTATACTGAAATATATTCACACACAAAAAGAGGCAGCAGAAGGAGAAAAATAATAGCAGGAATGGAATTTACAGAATGGAGAAAATCCAGTATAAAGCATTAGCCCTTTATTAAGCTTATACATAGATAGATGCTTGAAGATATATTCAATGTATAGAGTCATCATAAGTGCAAATATTATATTGTAACATCTTAAAACTGCTCTGATTTTTAAGACATCTAAATGATCCAAATTTGATCCAATCAAATCATTCAACAAAATTCTAACTGGGTGCTTAGCACGTGTTGTCCTTGATTACAGGATTTAAAGACAAGACTCAGTGAGGACGCAGTTAATAAGTAAAAAGCTTCAAAGTAATGCCCTTTGTTCTTACGTCTGGTACCACTGAAATATGTGCAATGTATTTAAGAGGGTCCTCTTTTTTTTGAGATTTTAAAAATAGTTTATTTAATAAAAGTTCAACATATGAAAACTGAAATTAACACACATTCTAAAAATTACCTAATTCCACTAATGGAATTTCTTTTTTTATTATTAATGGACTTTCTATGCATATATGAGACTTATACGCAATATGTGCACACAAAATATTGGTACTGTGTCTCTGTTAATACACTGTAACAACACTAAGCTTGATTATTATTGTCCCCATTTCACAGTGGGGGAAACTATGGCACAGAGAGGTTAAGTATGTTAGCCAATGTAACACAGCCATCCAGCCCCTGTTCACAACCACATGCTATGTGCTGTGCCCTAGTACTGACCCCAGTATGTGGGGGTCAGCCAGGAGGCTCTGGAGAGAGCTGGAGTATACAAGGGAATGAGATCCCCAGCAAATGTCTGTCCTAAAAATAAGAAAACAAATGTAAGCGATTTGCCCAAGAAGGGACTTAGATTTTCTAACTTAGATTTCTAGGTTTTTATGGTACAAGCTGCAAATCTTTCCCTTGTCTTTCCTACTCTCTCTCTATTCAAGACCTTTCTGAATTCCTGTTTCTTCACCAAGTCTCTCAGTCATGTCCCTTTCTCTTGGGAGTCCCTGGGCTTCTAGGCCACAGTCGTGACCACAATACCTCAGAAAATAGCCAAGTTGTAGAGATCACACACCACAGGTAAGACAGCCACATTACACAGTATAGAATGTTAACTGGCACCACAGCCCACACAACATCTTCATGCTTAGTATACTTGTTAAAATCAATGAACTCCACACCAATAATGATAGAGTCTGTTATTCACTATTTGGAAAATAACAAGCGAGTTGCCCCAGAAATCCCAACAGGCGTTTGTTTCCAAATATAAATACCTGTAACTATAATTTGACTCAAGGAAATAGATAACCAGGAAAATACACTGGATAACACCTCCCCTCCCCCCCTGTAATCTTTATACATTGTCTAACAGCTCACAATTCAGAAATGGGTGATTTGAAAACTGATATTTTTCAAGCTTGGCGTGCATGGGACTGGGAACCAGCGTCTAGAAAGCCACTGTGCTATCAAAATCTTAAGCACGACATGTACTTGCGTCTTGTGAGTCTTATGAATCCCAAGGACTACAACTCCCTGGAAGTGAACTGAAAAATATGTATTAACTTCAAAACTGTGTTCCTCTTTTAACTCAGAAATTCCATTTCTAAAATTTTATCCTAAGGAAATAATCATGGGTGTTCATAATGATCTAGTTACAAGGATAGCCATCACAGCAATTGGTTAGAATAGTATCATATATTTTTTAATCATCAAGAATTAAACAGCTAAATTCTGACATGCTTCTTTAATGGGACACTATTGCAGAATAATGGTCAATGCTATGCAGACATGCTCATGATATATGGATATTTAAAAGCAAGTTACAGAACAATACAGAATATCTGTTAAATAAATATATTAAATATCCATTAAATATATCTTTTGTGAAAGACAGTCTCCAGGGCTCCCCAGTGACCCCCTGGTGACATGTTCAGGACCAGCCTCGGGCTGGTGACCAACAGCATCTGGAAAGACGTGATGGTAGAACACTTTGACTGCAAGTTATGAAAGGCCATGATTTCCATTTTGCCTGTGCCTTTGTGGTTTTAGTGGAAACATGCTACCATGTTGTGGAGCTTATGGAATAGGTAAGTACTTGACCTCTTGCCAATACCACTGAGGAGCTGAGGCCTCCAACATAAGACTGGTTGTGTCCTTGCTGGTTGCTGGTGAACCTTGAGATGACTGGAATCTGGGCTGTAAGGATTACAGCTACAGCTACAGCTACAGTCTTGTTAGAGACCCACAGCCAGCAGCCATGGCTACAATGGGCCTGGATTCCAATCCAAACCGTGGGGTAACATGATCACTGTTATTTAAAGCTAAGTTTTTGGGTAACTTGTTATATAGTAATAGATATATGCACAATGAAATAACAGAAAGGGTATAATTAAAAATACTGTTAATGGTTCTCTCTAAGTGACAGTATTTTTTTTTTTTTTGAATAATGCTGGCAATGACTTTCTTTTTCAGAAAACGAAAAAGAAAATTACAAAACCAAGAGAGATCACAAGACCTTTTAAAGAATAAAGGGTAAAGATTAGGGGAGGCCACTTGAGCGTCCACTTTTAGAGCACTTATTAGGTAAATTAGCTTAAAAGTGAAAACTAAACCAAACCAAAAGGCCTAACAACCAAACTCCAAAGAGCAAGTCTGTGTGGTGCAGGAGAGTAAGCTTTACCCACTAGGAAACACGCAATACACAGTGAGTAGCAGCATCAGAAATTTCTTGAAATGGAGATTTGCTGAGATCTAAAGGGAAAAGCAACTCGTAATGAAGTGGTGGGCACGAGGGAGCACAGGCATCTGCTTACCCAGCTTCTGGTCGAACCGCCAGGCGGCGACGTAGGCATTGTGCCTCAGACTGCTCTGCGTGGCCAGAGGCACGGTGACGTACATGGGCCCGTCCACCAGCACGGGCGTCCCATCACTGCCGAGCAAGTGGACGCTGACGGCCGTCACCGGAGTCAGGTCATGCCTGGTGCCGTTTCCTGGAAGCAAAAAGCATTTTCTATCACTGGCATTTACAAGACCCACCCAAGGCTCTGGAATCCATTTGCAAGAAAAAAGAGGAACAGTTACCATTTCTTTCTTGCACACTGCACTTCCTATCTGCACAAATTCCTAGTCTAGCCAGGTGCTATAATAGAACTTTACAGATATAATACTCCCCACAATCTTATAAGGTAGGTTAAAAATCTCCACAAAGAATGCAGAGAAGGTGGTAATAGGATCTGCCTTAAGGGCATTTTGTGGTAGGCCTGGGACCTGAGCTCAGAGCTGCTCAAAAGGGAAGGCCATGACTCTGAGGAAGGTCTAAGCAGAAATCGCTGAGAACGACCCTATAAAAAGGCTACCCTGGGCACTTGTTAGTGATTTAGCAGGTCACCATAAGGAAACCAAATGTTAAAATTAGATCCCTTAAAAAATGTTTTTTTCAAGGAGTGTTTCAAACTATTCACCTACTAAAAATAAACAATTAAAAACCTGCACTTGAAATATTTATGAGTTATTTTAGTTGCTGCTGGAATTTTGATCTGTTT